AAATTTCGTTATATTTTGAACTTCAAATGCTGAGATTTAATTTTCTCAAAAACTATAAAATTAGTTTTTTTTTCTAAATATACATATTTTATAGTTATTCCTTGAACAAATCAATAGAACTTTTGAATAGAATTATTTTCATAAATATGTGTACAATAACAATAACGTATCAGGTATATACTATTATAACCGTCGACAAAAGAACACTTCGCGCATTATTTAAGTACGTAATATGCTTTTAGTCGCGTGTTTGAAATCGCTAGAAATAGGTTTGAACTGTCTAAATATTTCGTGTGGTTGACCTCCATCACCTACCATACTGGTACAATAACAACAACGTGTCGTGAGACGGACGTGTCTTGAAACCGCAACTATAATGTCAAACTTGCAAGCAAACACCGTCACAGCCATAATGTATAGAATCCGTTGTCGTAGTACACGAATTGGTTACTTAAGATGTCCAAACATTTTTTTGGCCGTCAGTATAATAATAATACTGTTATAAATACTACAGAAAAATTGATTGTTATTTATCTATTGTTTTTCGATAGGATCAAACTAAAATGTATTGGTAATACAGCAACTTATTTAAAAAATATTATATAAAATTATATTAATTGGTATTTAATGAATCACAATACCTTATCTTAAATTGAATTTAGTTACCGTGAAAAAAAGTCGCAATGATAATATTATATTTGATTGCAAACGATTCCGTTGTCTGCAGACATCAGATAGACGTCATTTGTACCGTCGTAAGTTCTACGAACGCATTATTTCGTATTTAAAGTGCAGTATTAAGAACCATTTGAATACGTGTAGAGTAGTAGAGTACTATGTACAATTTAAAAAAATGTATATGTAATATTATGATTAGAGCTCGCATATAAATGCCCTCAAAAATACCGAAAATGCATTTTCAAAAAATGTATTCATGACCTAAAACGGGCTAAAAACTCTAAAAATATCAAAAAGTGCCCAATAAAAAAATTCATTATTTATTAAACAAATTTAAATTATTATGTTAAATTGTATAGGAACACGTTGATGATTATAAATATCATACAATGGTATAATATAATCGCTCGATTAGAAAATACTCGGATAAAAGTTGTTTAGATGTATGCAATAAAATCGGAAGTTGGATGGTGTGACATTAAGATAAAATTCAACTTTGTCTAATTTAAAAGAGGATCACCTGATGTAAAGTTCAAAATGAAAATAATTTATAATTATTAAGTATTTATAAATAGTACTTATATTTCAATTTTCAATGAAGTCAGTTTCTTGTCATAATACGAGAAATAGGTAAACAATGTCTTAAAAATTAGAAATGCATTAAAAACGTCAAAAAAATGCCCCAAAAAAATGTTATGCTTAGAACATAGATTACTTGATACACATTTTTAGCGCAAAAAGCATCGTGTAAGACATTCCAAAAAACGATGCAAGAGCATTGAAATCTAAGCCCTAATTAAAATCATCTCGAGAAAAGTGAATTCCGTAAACTTAACTTATAATACTCGACCTAAGCCTTCTCTGAAATGTATAAATAGCTTAAGTTTCCAAATAAACCTTAACAGTTTATTAAATTAATACAAATGTATTATTTATCCAGAACTTGCAAAATTACATTGTAATTTACAACTGGAACTTACTTTTTTGAACAACCAACTTGTTTTAAATGCCTAATACTTGCGATGACTTGATTATGTTACTAATAAATAAACGATTAATACTCAATCATTGTCGCACTAGTTCGAGAGGGATGTTTGTGCTCAACCATTCCAAAAATCTTAATTTTTTTTAAAAAAACAAGACTTACCTCTTTTAGTTATTAAAGGTTTATGTAAAATGCATACATTATACAGTACACTCATATGTACAATACTATTTATTATTTGCTAATATAGGTACACACGTCACGCAATTCAACACAGAGTGCTGTATTTTATTTCATACAGGTCGCTCATGTTAAATAATTAATAAAATAACCTGCATTGTACAACTACAGTGAACATATGGGTACATAAAGGCTGTTTACTTATTTCAAATGTCTTGGCTCTACAAAAAAAAAAATCATGTAAAATATAATATTGACAGAACTGTTTATATTTCATTGTTACACTGTTCAAATTACTTAATATGTTAATTTAATTAATATAATTAATACATTTTACTATTTCCAGCTTAAATTTAAATTTTAGTCTTTCATTGTGAAATATAACCAATAGGTACAATTCTAAACACTTTTTATTATTTAATTTTTTTTGAAAAGAAGTTTTTATGGCAAGATGCGAGCTGGCTGGGAAAAAAACGTTCGTGATGAAATACTATAATTTATAATATATTAAACAGTTATATTTTAGCCAAAACATCCAATTTTTACTCAGTACTAGTAATATGCGATAATAATTTTTAAAACTGATTTGAATTCTTTATTATATCTGTTTGAGATTGGTCAGTTCACTTTTCCCAATTTTACCCCCCCCCCCCCCCCCCGACATCTATAAATTTAGTTAGAATATTTTCTAATTTTCTAACGTTGAATATTTGGGATTTATTAATGTAAATCAGAAATTTTAAAAAATGGACTGACCGATCTCAAATAGACATTCTAACGATTCAGATCAGTTTTCTGAAATATCATCGCATTATTAGATCGATCGGTAGGATGGAACAAAAAAAAGCTGGAACCGTAAGTTGGAGTGACGGTCCGCTATAGATTGATAATAAATATCTTGCGTATATTGATAAAATAATTATTGATAATATATCACTACACTACGCATATTATGCATTTATAATTATTATAATTAATAGAATATATGAGTAATAAGTATAATATAAGTATAATATGTAAAGTGGAAATCCCTAAAAGTGCATGGCGGTAAAATGGAAATCCCCAAAATTGCTGGGCACGTATATCACGCGTATTTCCTGCACAACAAGACACTGAAATCTATACCACGGTCCTTGCAAAACATAAACTTTTGGTTACATTTTATATACATATTATAACCTCCTTGCATGACACTTAAACATTTTTTATTTCATGAAATTGTTTTCGTAGAATAATCTGATTGTCGCATAATCTCTGCATAGTGCATTACCTTTGCCTTGATTACATTTTTTTGTGCGTCGCGTTTGGTATAGACTAGGTAATTTAAAACTGGTATAACGCGAGGATTTGACACAGCGTGATGAGGTCTGCATATTATGCGTTTATAATATTATTATAATTTATAAATTATAACAATTTGGTGACTTTAACATCAACTTTTAATGATAAGAATTCGGAGACATTTAAAACTTTCATTAAGAGGACGCCACACCCGCATGTGTTGTCTCCGTCTTACAAACGCGTAACATAGCAAATTACGTCCACGGAAAACAAACGAATCGGCATCAAAAAGTGGTTTTAGAGTAAAAATACCTATAATAAAACTTAAAGAGAACAATATTTCGGAGGGAACCTCATCGGGGTTTTGTATTAATCTAAATACACAGCTAGATATTGAAGGCACAAAAACTCATTTTTTTAAATAACCACAACTTTTTTAATAGTTAATATTTTTAAAAACGCCGATGAGGTTCCCTCCAAAATATTGTTCTCTTTAAGTTTTATTATAGGTATTTTTACTCTAAAACCACTTTTTGATGCCGATTCGTTTGTTTTCCGTGGACGTAATTTGCTATGTTACGCGTTTGTAAGACGGAGACAACACATGCGGGTGTAGCGTCCTCTTAAGGACACATTCAATTTGCATATGATGAACAATCCAGCAGAATCTATAACGAGGGATGACCACCACTATTGATGCAGTATTTTCAAGATATTTGGAAAAAATTACATCACAAACACAAGTATCATATTTCAGTTATCACATACCTGTAATTTCGATTGTTAAATATGATTAATATAATAGTAATTAAATAGTAATAATAATAATTTTCATTAATTTTTCACTTTTACATTTAATTATGGATATTTACTTTTATTTTGAATGGTTCCGCTAAAATGTATTTATAATCTAAAATATTTGTTGGAAAAAAAACTTCGTTTCTATCGAGTGTCCCATGGCACAACTCACTTTTATTTTATTTTTAATTGTAATAATAATATTTATAAAATATAATTAAACATTATGTACACGTGTATAATAAGTTTTTAATTAATTACTCTTTAAAATATTTGATAAATATTCTAATTACTCCTATTTTCAATGTTCGATTCCTAAATTGTTTTTTATAAATTTCAAAATAATTGTTTTTATATAAACCTTTATTTATTTTATTTATAGATAATGAATTAACGATTTATATTTATCTTCAAAAACAATATAAAGAACTCACTAATCAAATATATAGGACACTAAAAATACTTAAATTGTAAAAGCATTTAAACTTCTGTTTTTTCTTTACCGTTTTTCCTCTGATACTATTCCTGACTTCAATTGATAGCCTTTCAAATGTCAGCCGAGGGTTCAATCTTGAATTTCTATGAAACAAATTCTCTTATTGAAACTCAATGCAATGATTATGAACCGAAACGGTAGGTATATCAACAGTAAAAGAGTAGGTACACACGGTTCTTCACTTCAAAAGAAAACCTATCAAGGTGTGTTTCTATTTTATTTTGTCAGGCATGAATATTAACGATTTTATATAAACTTAAAACTAAAACGGATCAGTGATACTGAGTAAGTCGTGGTTTTGAAGTCTTCTATCTACTTTCATTTTGTAGTTTTCGTAATATGTATTTATTTATTTTTTCATTATTCGAGAAAGATTCAATGTGCATCAATGTTCATAATGATATTATTATTGCAATTACGCTTAAGATTATTTATCTAAATCATATGATCTATTCATGGGCGTAGCTAGGATTTCAATCAGGGGGGGGGGGCAGTGATGTAGCCAACTTTAAATCATTAAAACTCAATTTTTTTTTAAAGTATTTATTTATAATATATTATTCATTAATCATTATTTTTAAATTATAACAATGACAATCGTCTAGAGTCTTCGCAAAATCTGCTGAGAATTTTCTGTTGCATCTCTTCCTTTTTTTCATCTAGCAGCTTTCTATGCACACTTAGTATGCATAGACCTGAAATAATTTACATTGTATATGATTAATATTAATATAATTATTAATTAGCATTGATATAAAAAAAACTATTTTGATTTACCATTCAGACGGTTTTCCGTCATCGTTGAACGCAACCAAGTCTTTACCCTTCTTAACGTACTGAATGACCTCTCAATAGTGCTAGTTGTACATGGCTGAGCTAAAGAAATATGCAAGGCTTGTTTTATTTTAGGAAAGAAAATATCTGTTTCTTCTACTACTTCACTCATTTCCATGTCTGATAGTTTGCTTTTAGCCAGTTTTTTCTCCTTCCAGATGTTGTACCATAATTCTGCTTCACTTTCCAAGTCTTTAATTTGGTAATAATTGGAAAAATCATTTATTTTAAGTTTAAATTCTTTGGTGTTCATATCTAACATATTTGAAGGGTGTAATAATAAAAGTGAAAAAGCAGGTATGTTTTCATCAGAAAATCTCCGTTCCAATGAGGATATTAATGAATCCAAGTATGGAATTAGTAATGATCTCTTCCAGAATTCAGCCGAATTTAACGCTGGAGGATTCGAACGATGTTGTTGTTGTTTAACAATCCTAGGAAGATTAATTTCTGCTCCTATATTCTCAGCTGCTATGTTTGCAGCAGTTAATAATTCTTGAATTTCTGTGTCAGCGTGTTCGCGGTGATCTTTCACTATGACTACTATTTTTTTTATAAAATTTGAGCATTTCAGCAAATCCAGATTTTTTGATTGTAAAGCATTCACAACAGGCTCTAATAATTTAGAGTATTTTCCTATGAGGATAACACTCATTATAAAAATACTTTTATTTGCTACAGCATACAATTGAAAAGCAACTTAGATAGATAGATCATCTATTGGTGCACATTTTCTCAGAGATTATAAATGGTCTAGCGTATTAACAATGGAATATTGTCAAACCACTATTAACGATATTCAGAGCAATACATCTACACGAACATCGTTTGTCAGAGTAGACCATTTGATAGAGCTGTAAACTGGAGAATAGTCGTTGATAAAGTGTTTAAATCTTCTTATTTATGTATAATACAATTCACTATTTGGAACCCTTAGCAACAAAAATTCCAAATCACACATATTTACATAATATTAATGTGAATATGCTTAGGGTACTACGCCGTGATTAATCAATAATAAGAAAAATACACTTAATGTATAATAGGTACGTAATAAAATCCTATAGCTTAAATAAACGATAGTAAATTTTTCTCAATAGTAAAGGTACACGTTATTTTCGATTTCAAGAAAAATAATAAGGTTTTTACTTATTTATGACACGATCAAAATCTAAAAATATTTAAATATCAAATATACTGTTATTATTTTTAATTGTATTAGCAAATGTTCAATATTTCTTTATTTTTTGTACTATCTTGATATGAGTGTATTTATGCTCGTAAAGTGATAACAAAGATAATAATGATGTTTTTCTTAAGTTTAATTAGTAATATAATAGAAACACTATATTTCAGATTTAAGATTTGCTTTCTATTGAATAAAACTTACATATTGTTTACTTGTCTGTTTTGGATGTTTTCCAACAGTATAATAAATATCCACCCGAACAATTATACATAGCTTTATTAACTTGGTATAAATTCAACATATTATATCTCCTAAATGCTGGCTCACATTAACTCTGTCGGTATACATGTCTCGGTGGTTCATTAATGTGTTCAAAGGATCGTTGCCACTAAGCGGTTTAAAGGATTCTTTAAACCCTCAGGTAACCTTTAATATGCTCATTAACATTGGTAATTCACGGATATCATTATTACACCTCAATATATTTAATGTCACTACCTAGATAGAATCAACATATTGTAATATTAAAACGGTATAACACATAAATATATTAGACCCATGTGAAGTAAAATTATCATTATAACAATAAAATCATAAAACATATAAATAAATAGAAAAAACATATTTTCATCTCTACTCATCAGGTGAATTAAAAAATAATTTTTGAATATAAACGAATTTTTTTTTGCTATTAAAAAATAGGTATAATTTATTGTTTTTGTTGCTATAACTATGCGTTTTACACAATTTGTTTTTTCATTTAATATTATTTAATAAAATATATAGGTATTATAAATTATAGCCTTTAATAATTTGTATCATATTATATTATATTGAATGCAATATAAAAATACGTACAAATATGTATGGTGTGCAGTATGAGAGTATAATAATATTACTGTGTATTGTGTTAAAAAAACAAATTCATCATATTATAATATCACAATTTTAAGATAACGATAACAACAATAATATTGATCTTTATTCAACATTCCAATATTTATAGTTACAATTAATTAGTGTGTTGTTTAATGAATAAACAAACGAATCTATCCAACTGTTAAAATTATAAATGGATATTTTTGAATGATTGATGTGGTATTTCTAGTTAAATTACATTTCATCGAAATAGCTCGTACAAACACATTGTACCTATTGTGTTTATTTGAACCTTATGATTATACACTATACAATGTTAAATTTTGTATAGTAATGTGTACATATTATTATATCAAGTTATCATAAATGATTTAAAAATAAATAAAAATAAAATACTTATACATAAAGATTGTTTAAAAATGTAATTTACTTTTATTTCTTATATTATATAGTTCTAAGATAATAATCTGTTCACAAGTTCTGATTATGGGAACTATGGTAAATTGTTCACAACGATACTATGACAACAATTTATGGTTATATATTGTTGATAGACAATAAAATATTATAAAGTGTATACATTTTGTATTCTCGTAAATGTCAATAAACAATTATTTAACTGTTGAGGTGAATTAAAAGCAGTATAACGTTTAAAATTTAATTAAATAATATAATTTTGTACAAAGTAAGGTTCAATAAAATTACATACATAAGTAAAATGTAACCATTAGGTATCAACGAAACCAATAATAGTATAAAATACAAAAATATTTAATATTGGTGCGTTTTTTTATTAATATGACCAAATTTTTAATGGATTTGAAATTGAATTAATGGCATAAAGAATAAACGTGGTATAACATTTTGTGCAGACCATTGACAAAATTAAGTAGTTCTATATTGAATATTTATGTTTTTTACTGCATAAGTTACTATATTAACAACATATACCTACAATGAACGCTGATAAATAAAATATTTGTTCAATAACAAAATTTTTAAAATAATTTTCATTAGATTTAATTCATCAACATTTTTGCTGTTGGTGTGTATATTAAAATTTAACCACCACTTTTTAAAGTAATACGAGTAGCTCACAAATTCAAAAGATGACTAGTGTTTACCTGAAAATAATTTTGTAAAAGATGATACTAAGAGGTCGTTCTTGAAAATATCCAGTTATGTTTTTAGAAATGTTTAAGTAAAATTATAAACAAAAACTTAGAGAAAACCTTCATTAAATAAATATCAGGAAGGGAAAAAAGCAGTATTTAAGATCTTTGCATATTATTCTAAAAAGTATGTTATTGATGTTAAAATTATACATTCTTGAAAAATATAAATGCAAACTGAGCTCAACATCGTGTATTGAAAACTATAGGTAAGAATTGAAAGGTTTCCAAAATAATTTTACATTTTCAAACGCAATATTATTGATTTTAGTGAGATGTGTTGAGACCATGGCCTAGGAAAAATGGTATTCTCTGAAATCTGTATCATGAAAATACTTTTAATTACTATGCAAAATACTGTGTTCAAAAAGTTTCTTTTTACAAAAAAAATCCAGTCTATAAATAAGAATTTAAAAATATTAATATCAGCTAAAAACTTTAGTTCACGCAAAGACTACGAGAAAGATATTTCAAAAACGTGTTATCCTAGTATACATAGTATTGAATAAATATTATTTTGGTTTTTCATACTTTGTATATTGAGTTTTTAATTTTTAATTTAAATTCATGCACTCATGATGCACGTACTGAACAAATTAATTAATTTTAAATGTAATCCAGAGTTTAATTAATTTTAAATAGCGTTGTGCTGAAAGTTAATATTTGGTAGATATTAAGGAACCTGACAAGTAATAATAATAAACCTTTCGATTTTAAATTACTATTTTGGCACATACAAAGTGTAATATTATTATCATATGCAATTGTATAAAAAATAAAGTATAATAAAAAAAAAATCCCTATCCGAAAATGGTTTATTTAAATAAATGTAAAGTACTTTAATCAAGTTTATATTTCTTACTCAAACTGATCATTACTAATATGCTTAGAAGATGAATTTTAATTAATACAGTTATAAATATTATGTCTTGAGATTTCTTAAAGTCTTATTATTGCAAGTATTATAGGGAACTAAGACACCAAGAAGAATAAACGAAATATAAAGCACGTGTTTACTTTTTTGACTTTGGTACCTTAATTTATTTCAGTACTACGTCAATGTCAACTCTTAAATTTTTTTAAATCTTGAAAAATACAAATAATTTATAAATTGGGCTTAACTTTAACCTTGCTTCAACGTTGTAAAATCCCACTTTAAAATTAAGACTTTTGTGTTTTATAATATTATTAACTAAATATTAATCATAATGTTAGTTTTTAAAAATGTATTTTTGCCATAAAAACCAAAGATTTAAGTATACAATATTGTTTTAACAACAGGTAACATTATTTTTAAAGTAAAATTTAATTTTAGCTGTTGTATTTAAGATAATTTTTTTTTCTATTCTTCTAATAGTATCGTCAACGTTAAATGTGAAATGAAATTATATGAATATTATTCAGGAATAAAGTTTAAAGTCACCTTACAGTGATCAATTATTCATATTTACATATTGTTTTATTTCATTTGGATTGGACAATTTTTCAAGTTATTCAAAACATTACAGCTTATGTTTGGTATGCTTTTGTGTTTTATCATTCAATAAGTGCATTTTTATCTGAATAAATGTGAATTGGTTTCCGCTTATTGTTATTTCATTATCGGTATTATCTGTATTTTATTTTAATGTCATAATTCCGTAACTATACTCTTTTATTTATTTTTTCCATCTGATATTAGAATTTTTTTCACATAAACCTTATCGTAAACGGTGTACCTAGTTCATATATTACTCGTACATATAATGAAGAAACAATACTATTGTACTTGGGATCAATAAAACAAAGAATGGATTGGACCATGTACAGCGTACATGATAACTGTTATTGTCTTTAAAGATAATTTAAGAAGTATTAGTTTTTTGACACAAATGTTCATGCACGAGATTCTTAACCTTGTACCTTTAGATTCATATTAACTTCCAATCCATTAAACAGGAACTATTTACTATACTGAATTATCTTTTTATGCTTAAATCCATCCTTAGAATAGATAATATATTGACACGATAAGCCTTTTGACTAAATGAAAAATAATAAATTTATAGTTACATTTTTCCTAAATTTGTAGAGCCTAAAACTTTTATTCTGGGTGTCCGTATCACTCGTTATCTATATGAAAAGTGTATTTGTAAAAACATATGAAAACAATTACAATTTAAGGAAAAATAAATATTCCAAAATGTTTTCCCAGGAACATTTCGCTTAACGTAAGGAAAACTTATATGACAGCTCACCAATGACATTAAATACAATTTACCAAGTGATATTTTAAACGTTCAAAAGATTATCAATCCTAACCATTTTTTTGAATTTATATAATCAATAATATTAATCCACTATTACTAGTATTACTGGTCTGCGTTAATTGGTCTACGCTAGCCGATTGCTTCAAGTAATGGTCGGTCGTTTTCG